GAAAAACAGAGACAAAGAGCACTGTCTTTCTTTTCCCTTTGTCTTTGCGCTTCCCTTTCAAAATGATATGAAGCAGCCATCCCAAACCAAAGTACTCCTCATTCATGTTACACAACAGAACACACAAATTGTACATGCCAAGTAGAGCAATGTCACGTGGAACGCTCTTAATGAGGTACCGTTTAAAATGCAGGATACAATCAGGAGATGGGGCTTTTCCTGTCTGTTTTTCTAGATATAGCTAGCATTTAACGAAGTTATGATGAACCGCGACATGTTATTTTGCAAATCTTAACAGGAATGATCTGAAGTGCCCAGTGCACCATTACGATTGTCAGCTCGAAATGCCCAAACCTAGTCAGGGGCCCTTTAAGGTGTTCACCGATAGGGGAGAAATTGGTCCTATGCGATTATACCCAGCATTCCTCTCTTCTGGGGTATCAGTGGTCTGGTTATTTGCTCCTGCGCTGCCCTTCCCAGCCACAACGAAACGAAAGCGACCCAGGAGAGTGTTAATTTAATGGTGGACATTTGATGCACAATGCTAGACAAACGGAAGACCACATACTGCAAATCGAGCGGGAAATGCATGCCTATGTTTAATCATTGGTACCTTTCTGCAGTCTTAAACAATATAATTTCTTTTGCTTCTTGCCATAGATACAAGTCACCGATGATACAAGTCATCGTTGTTTTGGAACATTTCAATTTTTGTAGAAGTTCATTGTGTCTATACTTTTGGTTTTGGAGGCCTAGAACAGTGTTTTACCTGCCTATCTTTGGTGCCTAAAACACACTTTTTTAGTGCCTAAATGTCCGGCCTCTAGTCATGACATTCGGCACACGTACGATGCAGAAAACCATGCTTGTGTCGTGCATTTGTTTTAATGTCTTATTTGCGCTGAATATTATTTGCCCCCAATACTACGGTCTAGCACTAGAAGCAGTTATATTGTAACGATGTTGAAGGACTCGGGGTGTAATAAAACGTATTTATTAAAGGGCGAACCTGTGCCCACAACTCAAAAGGACTATGGTCGTAGAACGTTACAGCAGAACACCACAGGTGTCTCCTTCTTCTACTTCTTCAAGAGGAGTCCCAAGCGCGTGGCGCACATCAGCCGGGGCCAGCTGGGTTCTCACGCTATCATTATCGTCTCTGCGCAACACTAGACGGCGCGCACGTATGTCCCTGTGCGCGCGGTGATGGGCGCGTTGTTTGAATGCAGGCCATATGTCACGGCCTAATCCCCCTCCTCATACGCATCGTCCCGTTGCGTCAGGCAATGAATAGATTCGTGGTAGGCGTCATTGGTTTTCCGATGATCTTTCATATTAAGGCTTCATCCGGACCACATGTACAACCTCTGTAGGGTTGTGGCATTTTGAGCTCCCGTGTATAGCGGATCTGACATGGTACGTTACATCGCTTACACAATAGAGTACTTCGTAAGGCCCGGAGTAGCGGCTAAGAAGTTTTTCAGAATCGGTTAACAGCCGATCGCGCTAGCCAATTGCGCCACGGAGACAGTCCTCCAAAAGTTTTTCAGAAAGTCCACGGCGACGCACTGGGGTCCATATCCATACTTTGTCACCTGGTTGAAAATGTGCTTCGGTACGACGCTGATTGTACCGATAGGAGTCGACACGCTGTTGGCGGCATATTCTGTATCTCGCCATCTGTCGTGCTTCCTCAGCTCTTTGCAGGAAGTTGTCTAGGCCAGGTGGATTGCTGCTTTCATCATTCAGTGGTAACATGGCATCCAGTGTAATGGTGACTGTTCGGCCGAATACAAGTTCAAATGGTGTCACTCGCGTAGTTTCTTGAATGGCTGTATTATATGCGAACGTGATGTAGGGCAATATTTCATCCCACAGTTTATGTTCGACGTCGACATACAATGAAAGCATATCAGTCAGAGTTCTGTTCAGGCGCTCCGTTAGGCCATTTGTTTGAGGATGGTATGCTGCAGTTTTTCTCTGGTCTGTATGGGTCATTTGCATCAGACATTTCATTAGGTCTGCAGTAAAAGCTGTGCCACGATCTGTAATTATGACGCTGGGTGCACCATGTCTGAGGACTATGTTGTTGATGAAGAACTTGGCAACTTCAAGAGCTGTTGCACTGTACAGCGAGTCAGTCTCAGTGTAACGAGTGAGATAGTCCGTGACCACGACTATCCACTTCTTGTGTGCAGTCGATGTCGGAAACGGGCCTAGGAGATCCATACCGACTTGCTGGAATGGGGCATGCGGCGGTTCTATTGGCTGGGGGAGGCCTGCAGGTTTCACGGATGGAGTTTTGCGTCTTTGACACTCACGGCAAGTTTTCACATAGCGCTGAACTGAAGATAACAGTTTTGGCCAGTAGTATTCGAGTTGAATTCTGGCAAATGTACGGCTGACACCCATGTGTCCAGATGTTGGCTCATCATGACATGCGTGCAGAATCTCGTTTTGTACAGGTGCAGGTACAACGAGTAAAAACTTGTCACCATGAGGCTTGAAGTTCCTCTTGTAAATGACCTCTTCTCGAAGACAGAATGAAGGGAGCCCTCTGGATAAAGTGCGCGGGACTTTAACGTTGAGTCCTTGGAGACGCTGTATAAGCGGCAGCAAATCGGGGTCATTTTGTTGTTGTTTAGCGATTTCTGACGCCTGGACGGTGCCTAAAAACGGGAAGTCTTCTTCCTCCGGCTCACTCGTCTCCACTGGTGTGCGTGACAGGCAGTTGGCATCGCTGTGCTTTTTCCCAGATTTGTATACCACAGTAACATCGTACTCTTGTAGCCTAAGGCTCCATCTTGCTAGTCGGCCAGAGGGATCCTTAAAATTCGCCAGCCAACACAGGCAATGGTGGTCACTGACTGCTCAGAATGGTCTACCGTAGAGGTACGGCCGAAATTTACTTATGGCCCAGATGACCGCGAGACACTCTTTTTCGATTGCAGAGTAATTTGTCTCAGCTTTCGAAAGCTTGGGGCTGGCATACGCTAGCACTTTTTCTTGGCCATTTTGCCGCTGCACTAGAATGGCTCCGAGGCCGATGTTACTCGCATCAGTGTGAACTTTAGTTTCGGCAGTCTCATTGAAGTGGGCGAGGATAGGAGAGGCTTGCAGGTGTGTTCTTAACTCATCAAATGCTTCCTGTTGTTCACTTTCCCACATAAAGGGCACCTCGTCCTTTGTTAGATTAGTAAGTGATTGATTGATTTGTGGGGTTTAACGTCCCAAAACCACCATATGATTATGAGAGACGCCGTAGTGGAGGGCTCCGGAAATTTTGACCACCTGGGGTTCTTTAACGTGCACCCAAATCTGATAGATTAGTAAGTGGTTCAGCAATGTTCAAAAAATTTTCTACAAATCGCCGATAGTACGCGCATAAACCCAGGAAGCGACGTACTGACTTCTTGTCTTTGGGTGTCGGAAACTTCGCGATGGCAGCCGTCTTTTCGGGATCTGGCCGAAAACCTTCGGAGCTGACGACGTGTCCGAGGAACCGAAGTTCTCTGAAACCGAAGTGGCATTTTTCTGGCTTGACGGTCAAGTTTTCTGAACGAATGGCTTCTAATACTGTGCGAAATCGCTCTAGATGTTGGTCGAATGTAGCGGAAGATACGACGTCATCCAAGTACACCAAGCAGGACAGCCATTTCAGTCCCGTGAGGACAGCGTCTATCATTCTCTAAAACGTCGCTGGCGCTGTGCACAGGCCGAATGGAAGCGCTTTAAATTCGTAGAAGCCGTCTGGGGTTATGAATGCAGTCTTTTCACGGTCGCGCTCATCCACCTCAATTTGCCAATATCCGCTCTTGAGATCAAGGGAGGAGAAGTATTTTGCACTCCGTAGTCGATAGAGTGTATTATCGATACGCGGAAGAGGGTTTACATCCCGTTTCGTTATGCTGTTCAGTTTCCGATAGTCGACGCAGAATCGAAGGCTGTTATCTTTCTTTTTAACAAGCACTACGGGAGACGCCCATGGACTGCTGGAAGGCTGGATAACGTCATCTGAAAGCATCTCCTCGACTTGTTTCTTGATGACGTCTCTTTCCTTTTGCGATACTCGATATGGGTGTTGTTAAATCGGTCTCGTGGCTTCTTCTGTTATAATCCTGTGTTTTGCAATAGCCGTCCGTTGCACCTTAGAGGACGTTGAAAAGCAGTCCGAAAATTCTTTTATAAGGGCGGAAAATTGTTTCTTTTGATATTCTGGGAGCCTATGATTGACGTTAACTGATGCGTCGACGTTGCAGGTCTCTTGTGGAGTGGTTGGCGTTGTCGCTAAACTGCATAGTTCAGTCGCCATGCAGAACTCATGGAAATAGGCGATAGCCATACCTTGCGCGATGTGCTGACATTCATTCCCAAAATTCGTAAGGAGGACAACTGAGCGGCCATTTCTTAAGTGAACAACACCCCTCACTACGCAAATTTCTTTGTTTAAAAAGAGCCCTACGTTTCCATCCGCTATTCCTTCGTGGTCACAAAATGCCTTATTTTCAACAAGCACCATTACACTTCAGTGTGGTGGCACTGTGACGTCATCATCAACAACGCGCAGAGCAGCAAGACGTCGCTTTTCCGATTCCTCCACTGACATAGCTTGTTCGGTCGAAAACGTCACACTAGATCTGCGCAGATCAATTATGGCTCCATTGGCTTGCAGAAAATGGTCGTAGAACGTTACAGCAGAACACCAAAGATGTCTCCTTTTTCTACTTCTTCAAAAGAAGTCCCAAGTGCGTGGCGCACATCAGCCGGAGCCAGCTGGGTTGTCGTGCTATCATCATCGTCTCTGCGCAACACTAGATGGCGCGCATGTATGTCCCTGTGCGCGCGGTGATGGGCGCGTTGTTTGAATGCAGGCCATATGTCGCGGCAATATGTGCTCTGCACTGTACCTAGCTGAGTGCTGAATAATAATAATAATAATAATAATAATAATAATAATAATAATAATAATAATCACGAAAATTCAACGCAGCAGAACGCACAGCATTCCATGTCTGGAGGACGCATGCTGATGTATTTCGGTGCTCTTGTCACACCCGCAAACCACTCCTCGCTTGTCAGGGCTGGTTGCCAGGTGACACGTGTGTCAGGAAACAGGTCATCCTGGAACAGCTCGGACTGAAATGAAACAATGTCACTTTGAGAAAGTGCACTTTCCCTTCGCTGTGAAATGCAAATGCCAATGTGTTCAACTGACTTACCATGCATTGCTATCAAAAACTGCTATTTTCTCCCCGAGCTCGCCTTGACTTAAGATGATCGGCCTGACTTATCCAGCTATGAATTCTTTCACTTAAAAGTAAGATTTCCAGAACTATAATGTGGCAACTGTTTTGCAAATAATGCATCAAGCAGAAAAGGCATGTTGTGCCTACAGATATGCCCAATGTTATTGACATTTTGCAAGTCTGAAGCACCACGGCAACAATGTGACAGCGAGTTCATCTGGTTGGTTGTGGCGTGCAGAGAAACAATGCAACTTTACTATCATGATGCAATCAATGAAAATGCTCCCTAATGCAATATTTGTGATGTGCAGTATGTTGGCATTGGTGGGGCAGCTCATTTAGAATCAGAAGCATTTCCTGCAGTCGCTGGAAATGCTGAAGAAGCATTTTCAGCAGTCGCAAGAATAATTCAGAAAACAAAAACAACACATGAGAACGTGACCGCATATTGCAAATTTAAAAGTAAACAATTTATATTTAAACCGACTTTCCAAAACTTCATGGTCAACCTATATTCCCAAGTTCACTAATACACGAAATCATAAAGTCTACTTATCTGTGGTATGATTTTGATAGTGTAGTTTTTTTTCGTGGAGGGCTGTGTGGGCTATTTTTTGCCTGCCTGTTAGCCATTTCTGCATTTTGCTTCACTCTCAAACAAAGCCATTGCGATCTGTATCACTGCCTAACAAATGCCAAGGTGCCGCTGCCACATAAGCACAAGCACAGAATTGTTTTTAAGTGGCTGGTGATCCTCTACGTAATATTGGAAAACAATATTGTGTCAGGGCGCATGCGCAATGTAGCACTGATAGTTGGGAGAGTTAGTAATATTATCTGGGGCATTACAACCCTAAACAAAGATGTGATTATGAGAGACGCCATATGATGATGATGTGTGGCGCTTTATGACGCAAGGGCCAATTAATGGCCAAAGAGTTCCATTTCAATGACTAGAGTTGGACAATGATATATTGCATGGCTGTATAGAAAAGAAGCCTTAAAATTCCTCGCTATAATGCGGGTAAAACATAAGTATTAAAATTATGACAGTGGCGTGATATGGATAGTAAAAATTGGTGACAAATGGTTTTGACAATAAAAACATGTGTAAAAATATTTTGCACTAGCACAAGTGCCTCATCATCGCCCTTGTGTCCAAGGGCTGCGAGGCAAGTGCTTATCAATGTAGTCACTGCAGTAGCAACCTCTCTTGAGAGGTCGCGCTACGCATTGCCTGGGTATATGACATGATAAAAGCGAACATCTCTCAAAAAAGCTAGCGCCGATTTATGAGTGAACAGTGGTTTCCTACCGACGAACATTGCAGGGTGTAAAGGTATATGTTGTCGGTAGGGTAATGGAAAGTGTTGTTTTCTTAGAGTGTCTAATTGTTTGCACTGAATTAAAATGTGAAGAACTGTTAGTGCTTCACCACATCTGTCACAATGGTGGATCGCCACCGGACAAAAGATATGAGTGTGTCGTGTATGTGTGTCCTATCCTGAGCCTCGTTAGTGTTACCTCAGTATGACGTGATTTTGATACTGGTGGCCAATGGCCAAGGTGTGGCTTGATAACGTGTAGTTTGTTTTGTATGTGTCGATCCCACTTTCTCTACCAGTAGTCCTTGAGCTTTGGTTAGACAGAGATGCCATAGGGCAAGTTAGTAAGGGTTCATAATTATGAAACAGCGCAACAAAGTGACGATGGCACAGCCGCGCTGTCTTCTTTATTGCCAGTGTTTCTCGTCCCTTCGCTGTGCCGCTTCATAATTAAGGACGAGTTCAATGTGTCAGAAAAGTGCCCGAGGTAATGGAGAAAACAAGAAAGCAAGATCTTTGCGTGCAGAGCTGCGTGGAACTCTTTTTTTCAGAGTGCCGTGTAGGATGATACCCTTCCGATAACATCCTAAGCCAATGGCAATATACGACTGTGTGCCATAGGTTGCTTGAAGCATGTGAAGCAAAACAGTGCATATCCATGCAACATCAGTGACCCGAGGGCAAAAAATTCAATGCAGCTGGTTCAAATCACTGAAAGCCACATTGGTGCGTTTGGCGACCGGACTGGCAAATTTTGCAATGAATGGCTTTGAAAGGAAGAACCAAAGCAACTGACAGGGTGGCACACCTCTTTGAGCAAAGTGAACTTTTTGTTTACCAAGAACGATTTCCAAGTTGGGGAGTTGACTTGCGATTAGCAATATATGATTGCTCACACTGAGTGCATTCTGCTGTGGAGATATACAGGCGAACCAGCGCTTACGCACACGTATGTGGCTTGCTTGTGCTCACCGGATGCCTCAATAATGAAGTGAGCAACCGACTAACAGCATCCTACTCCATGCTTGCTCTTCTTCTATTTCCTTTCTTTAGCTTCTGTGCAATTCTCCCATGCTTCTAGATTGCAGAAATAAGTGCCTTTATCCCAACAACTACTATCCTCTTTTGTCCTCTCTCCACTGTCTTTCGTTTATTGCTGTGGTTGGCTTTCGTTTATTGCTGTGGATGAATCTAAATATTTCTAGCTCTTCACAAGAGCCAGAAATATTTAGATTCATTGAAAATTTCATGGAACCAATCACCTTAGAAGCACTCCCTATTTCGGTTTATGATGCAAAAATAATAGTGTCACGCAGTTGAGCATTCTTGTTCACTGATTATTTTCGTAGCAAATAAATTAAACACTGAATAAAATTGTACTTCATGATGCAACAATATAAATACACCTATGTGATTATCAGTAGATATGGTAGACAAATGCTGTCACGTACAATGCTAGAGACTCACATTTCCCCCTAAGACTTCATGAATGAAGAAAAGTTCTTTTTCTTTACGACCTATTAGACTGCTGGGCACAACATAACCTTATTCAGCTAGTCTCAAAAAGCCAACCTTTTACGGCACTCATCTCTGTGCTGAAATTACACAATTTAACAAACTTCATTTTCCTTTTGGAGCAATATTTTATGTGGCTAGGGCATTATGTCTATACTCCAAGAACCTCCTACTGTGTGCTCTAGAAAGAAGTGCATAACGAAAAAATCTCACAAGGTACATTATGCATATGCCTAAGATAACTCGAAGGAGAGATTCGTTTTGTTTTTAATGGGATACCAATTATATGGACATTCTCAACTGGTTTTTGCTGTTGCCAGAAAATTTTTTTTTTAATTTGGGAGGGGAGGGTTTCACCTTGATGTGAAGGGGGGGGGGGCAGAAAAAAGGTCATTGTGCGCTATATATGCTATGGCAGAACGACGATTCTGGAGGTAGTGGGGGCACGTTCCCGATGTCAATTGTTCGAACCATCATCAGTGTTGAAATTTTTTCGGCGGCTGTGAAACCAGGTGAAAAGCTTAAGACGCATTCCAAGCAACAGTGTACAGTTGGGACTGGTTAATTTCCTCTTTGTTAAGCGTGAAGAAGAGTGTCATCGACCCGGTTCGGCGCTGAGAAAACACACGAGACCGGAAAGGCCATTGTGACTTAGACTCCATACCAGCTACAAAGGACAGGGGACATTTTCAAAGCCACCGTGGATTTGGAGAGACCTAAGCCAGCATGGTATTTGCTGTTTGGGGGTGGCAGCTAAAACCAAACCAGTAGCAGTTGCACCTTTCGACAAGAGCGAAGTCCTGAAAATTTGCAGTTGTTAAGAATTAACTTCCAGGAAACGACAAGAGATTAGTCGTCCCCTCCTCAATCCCCCTCTCTCCATACGATCGGCTACATGGAGTGGCATGTTTGACAATAAACCTGTCAGACCGCCACATTGTTCTACCCGAACGCAAACAGGTTTAGCACATGTTCCGGGAGTAAGTATTTTCAAACATCACCACATTCCGGAAGAGACCTTGGACTACACATCATCTAGGATTATCGAATGTGCTCAAAATCTTGGTGATGTATGCACAGCGTTAGTGTTAGCATTCGTGACCGTAGTTGGGCATCGTTTTAGACAGTGCCCTCCCCCCGTGCATTGTATAGTGTCTTTCCCCACCTTCATGAGAGGAGCACCAGGACCATCGAGCGCCTTATTGGCTGAATATGTGAGAAATGCGCCCAGGTTTTGCAGCCTGGCACTATATAAGCGGAATACTTTTTGTATATTTTCAGTTCTGCACTTCTCCCAAAGAACTCTAACTTACTTATTCACCTTCTGTTGACTTCCCAGTCCCTAACCATGTAAATAAATTCTTATGAGCACCTCATCTGACTTGTTGGACGATGAGTCCAAGGACGGGGGCTTGCTACCAAAATAAGACCCAGGGGACCCGGAGTCACAACACAATGCATAAGGCTGGCTTTTCACCCTTCCTGCTACCCTCCCTAAGCACATGCCTATAACTCTTGACTAGCGATTCCGACTAGACCGTGCATGACCGAATCTGGCTGGTTAGAGTATGTGCTTATTCTGTGCTGATAAGTACACTTCATTCGTGCTCCAATTCATTTTTTAATGTACACTATAACCTCATTACAACAGACTTCCATAGTAAAGAGGATTGTGGTCTGTTGGAAAAGGAGTATGTAAAATGCAAGTACCGTTGCAACAAACTTTATAGAAACACTGAATAGGTCTGTTATAGCTAGAGAGAACCACCAGTCATGTCGAATTTATTCTCAATGGTGCATAAAAAATTTGATTTTTCAAAAATTATTCATCAGTGTCTGTACTCTTTTTTCTATGCAATTGCAAAATATCTTCACTGAAAACGACGTAGAAGTGCTGTAAGAAGTTTTTTTGCGCTTCCTGAGGTGGTGAAAATTATCGTGAAAGTCACACAAAAAAAAAAAAAGGAGTTTTTCAAAACTTTATAGGTCCATGATGGCACAACTGCCCACCACCATTTTAGGCTCGTCGTAGGAGTACTTTGTAAAGAGC